TCAGTCCCGGTCAGGTCAGTCTTTGTATCTAAGTCTTCCCTGCGCTATTCAGCACCATTATGTATGTATGAGAATGCACATTGCTTGTCGAGATTATATTCGCACCGCATTGTCCATTCAGTCCTTTTCATCACATTGCAGATCCTCGGTTATTACGTACATCACGTATCTGTGCATGGAACAGTTGGTATCAAAGCTTTGCACGTGAATCAGGACAACCTGATCTGACACGTGTGCGGGGACTAATTAGCTGGTTAGTCTTTATTGATTGATTAGAACACAATAGTTAGACCCCAAAATCACGATTTTGACCTCACTACCGAAAATCGAAATTTTTTTCTTTTCTTGGATTTTATTTTCTCGCTCTTCTGTTGTGGAAAATTGCAATATCGCAACATCTGAAATTYCCATTTTCGTTTTTCTTCTGAAAATTTGAAATTTCGCTGTTGAAAATCCGGAATATTTTTCTTTTCGAAATTTTCGATTTCCTGTTGCATTTCCCGTTACTTAGAAATTCGGAATATTTTCTTTTCTGAAATTCATTTTTTCTGAAAACGGTACGGGAAATCCCTCCTGCGGTATTATTCTTCAAACTGCGAATATTCTTATCGGAATAAATCCGAATACTTGTCATTTCTGTTCRGAATTTTTTCGCAGTTCTGGGATTCTGTCGTTCAGTTCTATRAATCATTGGCAGTCTAAAGTCGAAATTTTTCTCTCTTTCAGTGATCATTTCGCACTTCAAGGGAGGTTGGGAGACCTACCGAACTTGCAAAAATCGGGATTTTTTTATTTTTCTCGAATTTTTTTTGTTGCAAAGTTCAAACTTTTCTTGTTTGATTAGTGGCTCCTTATCTAAGTGATTAGTTGGGCGATTATCCCACCCACCCCTCCCCACCTATGTTGTTGCCATCTCTCGCCTTACCGTTTTTGTTTGCCTTCGGGTACCCCCTGCGGCGGCATTGGTGAGTTGCCACGTCCAGAAGACCACGTCAGCAGGACACGTCAGCAGTGCCACGTCAGCAGCAGAGGATACCACATCAGCAGGCCCCGGCCTGGTCTATGCTGTTTCGATCTCATACATCAGTCATGGACCAGAGGCTTGGAGAAGCAGACGAGGCCTATCAGGCCCGCATGCTGGCCTGGAGTACCGAGACAAGAAAACGGGCAGATGACGCTGCAGCAGCAATGAAGAAGAAGGCAGAAGATGCCGAGCAGGCACATCTGCTGTCGATTGAACAATTGCGCCAGCATGACGAGGCAGCAGCAAGGGCTGCCGATGAAGAGAGACACCAACGCCGTGAGAAGATCTTTACCGGAGAGCAGGCGTTACTAACAATGGCAGCGAAATGGTGGACCGAGGCCGAGAATAGCCAGTTGGAGGATAGCGCAAACAAGATAGCGCTCCTCCTCTCGCATCTCACAGACCTCCTGGCAACCTGCATTACACAGCAGGAGGAGATCCACGGTCTCGACAACTCGCTAGCTCGCGTCCAAGACCGCCTTCAGCGGTTGGAGCAGCGACCAGTCGTCGCCGCCGACGCAAGCTCTTCCAATACTTCGAACGCCTCAACGCATTGGAGATGGACGTCGGCTCACTCAAGGATGGCGTGCAATTACAGCAGACTGCAACGCAACAGTTGCAACAGTGGATCTGCACTACCGCCAACACCTCGAGTTCAGAACCGCGCGAGACAGCTCCAAAGTTCGATGGGCATGAGATCTTCTGCGACTCAATGAAGACAGATCCGGTTCCATGGTTTCGCAAGTTCGAGCTCACGCTGCAGCTCCACAACGTCAAGGAACACAAGCACCACGCATACTTGTACTCTCGCTCAGGGGGCGCGTGTCAGRCTTGGTTGGACAACCTGTTGTCCAAGTACGGAGTGGTAGCCAACGACTTGCACACCAAGATCAGTTAGGATGATCTGAAGGCGGCGTGGCACAAACGGTTCCAGGTGGAGCCACCAGAGATCAAAGCCATGGACAAGCTCATGGTCTTCGAGCAAATCACGCTGCCGAGTACAGACTGGATCCCCGAGTACCAACGCTTGACATTAGTCCCAGACATCCAGATGGACTTCAAATCCATCCGCCATTACTTCATCTCAAGGTCATATCCGGCATTGAGCAATGCCCTGACGCATGTTGAGGACACCTTGACGACAACGGCGGAACTATTTGACAAGGCCGCGCAGATCATCATCACGAACAAGGAGGCCAAGAACCTCCGTTCATCTGCGGCAGGCCCGAGCAGGGACCAGCATCGACCAAGAGTGGCCGTGGTTGCAGCGGCAGCGTCGTTGGACCAAACCAATGAGGCTGTGTCTGCCGGTGAAGGGGACAGACTCGTAGCCGCCCGGGAAGGTGGCCGCCCCGGTAGAGGCCGAGGACGGGGCAAGACGAAGACACACACCGCATCTAGCCCCGGGGCCTGTGCAGCAGCTCAGACAGGCCCATGATCCCAATATGGCATCTCCGAGTCAGCATTCAAAGCACGCGAGAGATTCCACTATTACCTTTGGTGCAACAACGATCTTCATCAGACGCAGGGTTGCCCATTAAAAGGCAAGGGCAGATAGGGAAACTGAGCACCGCCGAGAGTGACTCGACGACACTCTCGACGCATTCGGAACCGGTTTCTTAACGAGTAACCGACCTTCATTCCGAGGCGCACGCGGAAGTCGAAAGTCCTCCTCTTCTACTTTCTTTTGAGGACTATGCTGCCCGACTCGTTCCTACGCTGGGTACTCAAGCTCAAGGACAAGGAGTGTGTGCGGTTTCTTCTCCGTTCGGCAACGGCGACATATCGTCTTCAAGTGGTTCTTCACGGGATTTGGCGCGCGAGTTCAACATAGAGGCATTGGACCCGCTCACGTCCGAGGACTTTGCATGGCTTCCTCTCCCGACCACAGGCCGCTTGCCGGGACCGCAATGCGCAACATTTAGTGCTAATCTCCACACTTACTTATCCTTCTATGCACCACCAACTTCGCCGACGGATGACGAAGTCGCGGTGGGGGACATCCTGGCGTATACTACCAAGCTGGCCCGCGAGTTTCGCACGCAGCGGTACGATGACAACAACGCACCGCTCATGTATGCCTGCATTCAGGTTGGGCAAGCGTCCTGCCAGAGCTTTGCTGGATAGCGGCGCGTCTCACAATTTCATGAGCCAATCCTTTATGCAAAGGGCTGGCCTTGGCACACAAGTTCGGAGGAAGGCAAACCCGGCGGCGATCAAGTTGGCGTATGGAAAGACGCAATAACTTCTCGACCGTTGCATCGAGGCCGTACCGGTCTACTTCGCACCTCATGCATGCGAACCGGCAACATCCGATATTCTCGACATGGACTTCGACATCATTCTGGGAATGCCTTGGCTTGCAAGTGTGGATCACACGGTCAACTTCCATCGGCGGACTCTTAGCGTTCGTGACGCCTTCGGCGCGGAAGTGACATGTACTATTCTTCTACCGCACACTTCGACGGCCAAATCATTCCGGGCGACTTGCGCTTATGAGCAGCCCGAGGAGATCGGCCTATGTTTCCTACGGACCGTCGTGGTAGCCGACTCTTCACCCACGGACATGTCTTCGGACCCCCGTATGGTGCGGTTGCTGGACGAGTTCGCCGACATCTTCGAGTCACCTACCGGTGTGGTGCCGGATCGGCCGATCTCTCACGAGAGCATTTTTTAGGCCGGTGCCGTGCCGCCGAAAGTTTGCATCTATCGGATGAGCGAGGAGGAAGTTGAGGTCCTCCGCGCACAACTTGATGATTTGTTGGTCAAGGGCTAGATCCACCCTAGCAGCTCCCCATATGGAGCACCGGTTCTCTTCGTCAGGAAGAAAAACAAGGATCTACGATTGTGTATCGACTACCGCAAGCTCAACGAGCAAACCGTCAAGAATGCAGGGCCTCTTCCTCGCATCGACGATCTTCTTGAGCGATTGGGCGGCGCAAAATATTTTTCTAAGTTGGATTTGAAATTGGGATATCATCAAATCTCGATCCAGCCGAACGATCGCTACAAAACCACGTTCGAGACGCGGTACGGGCATTTTGAGTGGGTGGTCATGCCTTTTGGCCTCACCAACGCCCCGGCGACGTTCCAGGCGGCAATGACCAATGAATTTCATGCAATGTTGGACCGGTTCGTGCTGGTCTACTTAGACAATATTCTCGTCTATAGCCGGTCATTGGAGGATCATCTTGGCCATCTTCGACGAGTGTTGGAGACGCTCCGCCCCGCCAAGTACAAGGCCAACCGCGACAAGTGTGAATTTGTCCAGCAGGAGCTGCAGGAGCTGGAATACTTGGGCCATTTTGTCACACCGGAGGGCATCAGTCCGCTATCGCACAAGATTCAGGCCGTCCAGGAGTGGCCGGAGCCTCGGAACGTCACCGATGTCTGCTCGTTCCTTGGTCTTACCGGCTACTATCAGCGCTTCATCAAAGGCCACTCCAAGATCGCGGCCCACTTGAACAAGCTTCAATGCGAGGATCGACCGTTTGACTTCGGAGAGGAGGCGCGGGGATAATTCTTCGCTCTCAAAGTCGCGCTATTGTCTGCGGAGGTCTTGCGGATATACAACCCGCTCTTGCCTACGCGCGTTACTACTGATGCGTCAGGCTATGGCATTGGTGCAGTCCTCGAGCAACATGATGGTGTGGACTGGCACCCGGTCGAGTACTTCAGCAAGAAAGTGCCCATCGTGCATTCCATTGACGATGCACGCAAAAAGGAGCTCCTCGCCTTCGTCCACGCGCTCAAGCGGTGGCGGCACTTCCTCCTTGGTCGAAGCCAATTTCGTTGGGTAACGGACAACAATCCGTTGGTCTTCTACAAGACCCAAGACACCGTCAACAACACCATCGCTCGACGGATGACTTTCATCGACCAGTTTGACTTCTTTCCCGATCACATTCCCGGGAAGTCGAACCGTTTTGCGGATGCTCTTTCACGGCATCCGGATCATTGTACTGCGGTCTACTCAACCTTCGAGATCGACGACGACCTGCAGAACAGCTTCATCCGCGGCTACCAAACCGACCCCGAGTTTCACGACAAGTACACGAATTGCTCCTCTCCTAATCCGGCTCCTTCTCACTACCGGATCCAAGAGGGGTACTTGCTTGTCCACACGCGGGGGAAGGACCTTCTTTGCGTACCGAGTGATCCTCACTTGCGTACACGGCTTCTTGGCGAGTTCCACGATGCTCCCGCCACCGGACACTTTGGAGTCAATCTCATGATTGGCCGACTTCGCCAGCGATTTTGGTGGTCCAGCCTTCTCGGCGATGTCACGCGCTATTGCGAGTCATGCGAGGTTTGCCGACGCTGCAAATCCTGCAACCACTGTCCGTACGGCGAGTTACGACCATTGCCAGTCCCGTTGAGGCGAAGGGAAGCGATTGCCATGGACATTACCGGCCCGTTCCCCAAGCACAAGACCGAGTGGATGGGATTCTCACGGTGGTCGACCGACTCACTAAGTTCGCCATGTTTTTGCCTTGTCGCTATCATGCCAAGGCACCGGAGTTGGCCGAGGTTCATTACGCCGGTTGGATTCGAACCAAGGGTTACCCCAAGGAGATCGTCTGCGACCGCGACACTCGGTTCATGTCCGACTTTTGGTTGGCGTTCATTAAGCGATAGGGCTCATCTCTCAAGCCCAGTTCAGCTCGCCACCCTCCGAGTCAGACCGATGGCCAGACGGAGAGGGAGCATCAGACCGCACAGGTTCTCCTTCGCACTCTCATCCGCCCCGACCAGAAAGACTGGGTTGAGCGACTGCCGGACGTCGAGTTGGCCTACAACTCTTCCATCCACCCGGCTATTGGGATATCGCCCTTCGAGTTCGAGCACGGCTCGCCGGTCACGTCACCGTTGGACACTATYACTCCACGCWYGRCCGAGAGCGACGACCATCTTCTTTTCTTGCGTCGGATGCAAGAGCTTCTTGTCAAGGCACGCGACCAGATGGCTAAGACACAGCAACACATGAGCCAGCAGGCCAATCGCCAGCGTCTTCCTTGTCCATTCCGCGCCGGGGACCTCGTCTGGGTTTCCGCAGCGGAATTCAGCCTTGAACAAGACATCTCTCGCAAGCTCCTTCCGAAATGGATGGGGCCTTGGCCGATCGTAGCACCCGCTGGGGACGCACCCGAAGGACCATCCTTCACGATTCAGCTGCCTGGCCACTTGCCCGTCTACCCAATCTTTCATTGCTCCAAATTGGCTCTCTACACGCCAGCGGAACATGATGATTTTCCCGGGAGACGTACGCAAGACCCGCCTTCTATGGACGATTTTCAGGAGGTCGGTAACATCATCTCCCAGCGACGCTACAGCAATAAGCCAACTGAGTATTTGGTGCATTTTGCATACTGCACACACCGAGCTGACCGTTGGTTAACCCGTGCGGAACTTCAGGCAACAGCTCCAGACGTTCTCTCACGCTACGAATGCAAGATGCAAGGCAAGCCGGTTTCTTCGGCTCCACGCCGCGCCCGCGTTCAGGTTCCACCTTCAGATCGTCGGCTTCGCCCTCGCCCCAGCTTGACTTCATAAGGAGGGGGGGGTGTTACATGCTGCTCGTGCACACGCAGGCCATTTTGCTGGCCCGGCGTCCTTAAGGCCAAAAGCCTGAATTTCAGGCTGAAAGCCTGAAATCCAGGGCTTACAGGCCTCATGTCGGATCAGGCCGAAAGCCTGAATTCCAGGGCCACAACCCCTATGTCGTTTCAGACTAAAAACGGCATCAGCCTTTTTAGCCTGAAACAAAGGGTCATTTTCGGTCGTTCATCAAAAGGACCGGCCCTGAAACTCAGGCACCGAACCAGGGTTTCGGAACAGGCTATTGTTCCCCACACCAGCCTCAGCAGGCTGCTGCACGCCAGCCCCTGGCACACTTCGGCATTGGCAAGATCTGCCTCCTCGGCCTGGCCCGCCCTACAGCAGTCAGCAGGCAGGCCGAGGTAGTACATAGGACTTCCCAGGCACTTCCCAGGGAGGCAGTCGACAGTTGTAGTCTTCAGGATTCGGGGAGCAGCACTCTGGA